GCTAAAGTATGGAAGAGGTAGAACCCCCTCTCTCTCTTCAAAGAACTTGAAATTGAAGGCTACCCATCGAATTGCTCAATTCGTATATTCTCTCCGGTAGAATTATTATCAATATTTTTTGCAATTTTCAATCATTCAAGGTATAGTCCCTATGGACTAATAAAATATTCTAAGAATATCCACTTTATTTGAATTTGAACAATATTTATTTATCTCAAATGGCAGGCATTTTGTTAGTTATCATTAGCCCTTTAGCTGACTTTGGGCTTTGCAGATAAGGTCACAAATAGTCGAGAGTGGGGGGGGGGACAGAAGAGTGATCCACAGATTTAAAAGAAAGGTAAAATGAGTACTGTGGAAGGGGTCGAATATGACATATAGTGGGGTCATAGTAGTTTGAAGTTAGAAGTCAACTGCCGATCAATAGACTTTTTGCAAGTCAGAAGTCAACTGCCGATCAATAGACTTTTTTGTCTTTGAAGTTAGAAGTCAACTGCCGGTTAATAGACTTTTTTGCCGCATGAATATACTAGGAAGAAAGTCTATCGCGCTTCCCAATTTTACCAATATTGAGATGCTGTTATGTTTATAACTTTTTAAGGCTCAATTTTCATCCTTTGAGTTCCGCTTTTCAGAATGAGTTCATATTGTCTACAATACTCCAAATTTGTTGATTTTTCGATTTTATTGAATGGTTAGTCATTTGAACTACGATTGAGCTAACTAGATCCGCTCAATGAGGACTCCGATATCCTTTTAATTTAATTCATTTTTGCCATGAGATTCAGTAGCATTCTTTGTGTGATTACATCTTTGATGTACTGGATCTAACTTATCTTAAAACTGCAATGCCCAGTAAATATTGAGGCTGGAAATTCTTTTTTGTTGACGAAAATTATGTCAAATATGCTACTATTCTCTAGTTTTTATTGTTTCTAATTCAATGGTTGTTAATAATTCATTCTTACTTTAATTATATGCCTACGAATCTCAATGGGCTAGAATTCTCATGACAATTATTTCTGTAATTACTATCTCAAGTCAATTTTTCCTGTGTCTCTAATTACTGTCCCTAAATATAGCTTGAAATTGACTTTCCTCATTGAAACACGGAAGTCGTTGTTTGTCGCCCGTTCTTGATTTCGCGCTATATCATATTGCGAGGAATAATTTTATCCCAATTTGATCAAATAATCGCAATTTGAGGTAAATACTATCAAATAAAGCTTAATTGTGTAAAAATTGTATTACCTAATGTACTAGTAGCTGTTATGAATGTTAAGCTGCGAACATCTGAAGACAATGGAGCACTTTCTAGTTTTTTTTAAATACTGGTGAAAAATGAACCGAAGCGTCACAATAAGCATTTGACACTTGGACAAATTGCTACTGTGATCTAGATGAATCAAGAGATTTTGGGTCGTGGAATAATCTTTCAGTAAATACTAGACAACCTAAATCCAGATGTCGAATAAAGTGAGACGCCACTCAATTTCCTTTCGACCCCTTCCCTCAACTATTTCCCCAATTAAATAATGTAAAATGATTTTGTTTTCCCATTCATAACGATAAGCTAACTTTACACCAAGCAGAGATGGGTAGGAAAGAACGATTTAAGTTGAATTAAATTTTATCTAATATTTTATGGATCAATAATCGATTACTTGACAAAACTCTGTCAATATTAGTTTTAATTGCCCAATTCGTTCTTGGTCATTATTAAGCATCAATCGTTTACTGAAGATTATTTGGTATTAATGTTAGGGTATTATTGTTAAGTGTAAAATGCGATAGTTATAAAATTTGAAAGCTCTGTGATTTGACTCCTAATACACGTTGTACACTACCGTAATTCATTATTCAAATTTCTCAAATTTGTTGTCTTCTTCGCCTTGTTGTCTGCATGACCCACCCAAGCACCCCCCCCCCTTTGGACTATAATTATTTTTATCGATTTTCTCCGCTAACTCCTGCATTACTAACTCCTCTCACCCACTAAATCACCTTTTCAGCTTACTGATTGGAACACTGCTCTTTCCTCAATTTTGTTCTTGAACGATATTCACCGGTCATCTATTGTCTCTTGTCTCTGCTATAACTTGTATACGTTTACATGACAAATAATTAAAGCCATTGCAAAGACCTTTTTAATACAGGTGTGTAAATGTGTAAATTGACCTTGATCTAATTGAAACTGTTCTTATTTTTGCTTTTGCCAAATGGCCTGGAACATATATGTCCTTTTGTTTATGCATGTGTGAGTTTATCCGCTTTCTAAAACCATGATAATTTTAATTCATATGCCTTCATGTGATTATTTACTTCATTAATAACAAGGGTGCCCATATTCACTGTCGTTAAAATTGTACCGCTATTCATCATTGTTGGGTTTTTTACCATATGGTCTCTTATATTGTTCTTGATTTATTCAACCTTGGGGAAACAAACCTTTTCATTCTCATACCTTTTTTATTATCAATTAAAAAAAGTGTGAAATACTGCTACTTAATTTAACTAGTAGGTATTTTTGTGGTTCTAATGAAATCTCTATATTCTTTATTATGATAATAAGTCGGGGGAGGGGTGGGGGGGGGTTTCAAAGGGCAAATTAAACAGACAACTGGAGTTAAGAGTACTTACTTCAACTAAATCGGCGAATATTATCTCCTGCTTACCGTCTTTGTTTGTTGCTATTAGTGAAGAAGTTGTTTATGGAACTACTCTTTACTCAAAAGCGTCGACCTTTTTTTCCAAACTGAAGAATTCAAATGCAACCTTCCTTCCAAAATATTTGAATATGACATAATATGTTAACTTTCACGTATGCTTACTTTTCTGCTATTTCAGTGTACAAGTTGACGTTGAAAATGACCACTCATTCCAGTTCGCACATCTTCGAGAGCTTTGCTCTCAGGGAGTCGGCAAATAACGACAACTGTGTCTACGTGATCCTTCTCGCCAACGCCCTTGGTAAGTAATCCGCTTGAAGTAGGAAGAACTTATGCCAATTTGTGCCTCACAATGATAGGAATGAATTTGAGGAACAACATAGAGAGAATCTTTACAAGTAACTGTACATGAAGTAGGAATCGAGAATGAAGTAAGGTCATATAAAGAGCTGTGCACTTCATTTAACACTTGAAATCAGAATGTACACTATTTTCTTAACGGAGGTACCTCACGTCTTCAATTTCCAAAGTTCAGGTATCCTAGATAGCTTGGTCATTCTACTTCACTTCAATTTTTTCCCTCCAAAAATTCAAATTGCGAGCAGCTCTTTCGTTACTTCAACTTTCTTAACCTCTCTATTTCCCTTGCTTGCCCATGATAAGATAGTAAAATTATCGATGCCTTCATGGAAAATATGGTCAACTTGATGTTCTCGGATGATGCCCTCTTCATTTCTCTCATGGTGTTAGCTCTCAATTTTTTCATATATTTCCCATTGTCAAAGCTCTTAATAGTCCCTTTACTTTAATGTGGTCCAAAATAATAAACCAAAGTACTATTTGAACAATTATGAATACGAATAGAGCCTAATCTTCCTCTTTTTTATAGGAAAGGGCCATGGAACACCATCCCTACGTTTGGGCATTCATCAAGTGGGGCACACCGAAGAATACGAAGGTTCCGACGGTAAAACTGAATGGACTGGTTTTGGTGATGACGAAGACTCCAAGGATTGATCTTAGCATTTAAGTCTTTCCATTTTTGAGACAACTCGTCATCCCTAACTTTCCTTCCCTTCTTTCTCCACTCAACATATCTTACGTCTTCTGGTTATTGCTTTGTTGTACAGGCTGTCATTCGTCTGGCTATTTCTAGGTTTTCTCTCCATTGGCTTGTTAAGGTCATCTTAACTTTAGCTCTCCAGTATCCCTCCCCATCTCTCCTTCATTCCCGCTGAGGGTTTAGTGGGATTGTGAATTCTATCTCCAAAAATACAATGATGATGCCTACTTGGGCCTGGGAGAGATATTGTGTGTACTGATCGCCTAGCGGTTAGATTGTTTGTCCCTAAATTTGGTGATCGCCAGTGCTATTTGCAATAGTTCAATTAAAAAAGGTAATCAAGTTTGAGTCGGTGAGGCTTTAAAACACAAGCCCTCTTTTCAAAATGAGCATTTAAAAACGGTTTCTCAAAATTACTGAAAAAAATGGATTTAGTAAGCTATAGAGACTAAAAGACTCCAATGTCATGGTGACAGGCGTGTGAGTGTCAGTCAGCAGTTGGTCTGGTGATTAACTATCGGTTAGTTGGGTTTAATCATCATGCCCTGGCGTCATTAGATTGAGAGCCTTCGGGTTTTTTTAGCAAGTAGGCCCACAATCGAACTGAGATGTCAGTGTGGTGATTGACTGGGTCCGTCAATATCCATAACCTTTTAAGCCTCATAAACACGCCGTTGCTGTGTGACGTGCTTTGACGAAGTCCAATTTAGATCACACACTTCTTGCAGTTCCCTAGAGTCCACACTTTCTTTTCAAAATTATGAATTGTTCAAAGAGAACTAAAATTGCTAATAGAAGACTGAAGTTAACTTCTCAGTCCATATTTGTTATAACGACCGTCGTAACTAGTGATTGGATTTGAGTTAAAGTTTTGGGACGGAACATTGTAGTAATCGTCAAATTTTATGAACCAAATTTTCGTTAAAGTGTAGAAATCAGTTAAAATTTGTTTGAAATTGAAAGAAAATGTATATCTCCTATTGAAAGCCCTCCAGGATCAGATACATTATTTTTGAACTGTTCCATTCGGGAATATATAGGCATGGAACGGTAAATGACTATGCACCATGATTTGAGGTCATTCAGTTGAAGTTTAAAACTTATAAATTGAAAACTTTTTTTTAAAAGAAGTTTCTGAGATGATATCTGATCAGGAAACGTCTTCCAGGTAATGTAGAATGAAAGGGTGATGGAAGATGGCACAAGTTGAGATTTACCAATTAACTTGACATACCGTTCTCTATAGCATACACGGCATGGTTATGTAACAACATGCTAGTTTCCTAATGACCCACGCTCAGCCCTATGCAATTTATGATTGGTGGGAAAGAGCGGGAACGAATAGCCCGCTCATTGTTACAGGCTAATTAGGAATGGGGACGTAAGCTAACAAATTGTTTATACATACCAAAAAGTGCTGCCGTGCTTTACGAAATATGCTAAATCAGTTGAAGGGAATTAGATACTGGAGAAAAGTTATGGCTTTTTTTCCTTTCAAATTTCCATTCTTCGAGAACATTCTTCAACAAGACTCGAGTTTAAAAAAAGTTATCAAAGCTCCCACTAATGCAATTAGTCTGTGGTGTCTAATAGTCTGATGATCCCTCCAATTTTTTATTACTATTTCTAGTAGCAAACAACTATCCCTACACTTTACCACCGTTTTATTTCAGAAGGATAATAAAATGCATAAAAATCGATGGGCGATAGAATAGGTGTGGAGCAACATTCAAAAAGTTTTTAATTGCTAGCCATTTGAGAAGGTATTACACGCAAAGTCAATCAATGATTGGAACCTCTTCCTCATTCTATTATTAGTAAATTCACACATTATTAAGACAATTAGAACTGTTTTTCATTACTACTCTTATCAGATATGAGTCACTTTATTATTCCATGATCAAATCGAAAACACGAAGTGGACTGAAGAACGTGTAGCTTACAAATTCTATTAGATTGATGAAGGAGTGTGGCAGGGTTATCATTGATACCGACATTCTCTTCGAACATTGATTTGTAATGTTTAGTCCTGCATTTCACATTCACGAAAACATTTTCTCATCGATTCGTTGCGAGGAATGTCATTTATAACGAGTATTTGCAAGTACGCATCCAGGCGAATGGCTACGGCATTGGAATAACAATAAGGCTTGTTGTAATCGACAGGAAGATTACCATACGAACAGTTTCCAGGAGCGTTATAGAAGCTGTCGGAATGTTTAGTTGCTAAATTTAGATAACTCAACTTACATGGCCCACTATAGGCATAAAGACCCCTGCAACACCTGTAAATCGTGCTTTTCGTGTTCTTTACTAATTTATTTATATCAAATGGCAGGCCTCATGATAGTTATCTTTAGCCTTTCAGCCGACTTCGGGCTTCATATGGATGAGGTTCATCGAAGCGAGAAAAAGTGGAGAGGTGGAACAGAGGAGTGATTCACAGATGTAAAAGAGGTAGACAAAAGGGGTAGAGAAAAAGGAAAGATGAGCAGTGTGGAAGTGGTGGAATATGAAATACAGTGGGATCATGGTAGTTTGAAGTCAGAAGTCAACTGCCTCTTTACAGACCTTTTGCTGTATGAGTATACGTTACATTGAGTGCACCACGTGGAGGTAAGTCTATCGCGCACCCCTGTTTCATTCAAATTAAAATTGGCATATTAGGAGACTGCTATGATGCATCAGAACTAGACTTTCCAGCAAATAAGGAGCCTTGTAATATTTGGCCTCACAATCGTATTCAGTTCTATTTATGATCACCTACCTCCTGATCAGCCAGGGTACTACTAAAAGTCTCGAATAAGCTCTAATCAATGCTCAAGTTGAGTTTCCCTCTCTCTCCCCCGCTATTTACTCTCAATCACTTGCATTCCATTAATGACGCACCTTTACTCAGCCAACATTCCAATTAAATACAGGCTACTTACAAAATACCTTCATTCTAAACGCGGTCATATTAAATAGAACACCCGGCCAATCAGTATCATATAAAAGCAAAGAAAAAATGCAAGTGCTCCCATAAGGGAAAATATTTCGGTTGATCTAATCTTACCGAATAGAGAAACAAATAGGCCCTTAGAACCAATTAAAATGCTGGGTAAATCTCCAGTGCGATGGCCATACTGATTTCAAAGGAATTCTCGCAAAACGGGAAGATGTTCCTCACTCAATTGCATGCCAATGTTGACAGGAAGGAAAGGAACCCTTCTGAACAATCGACGAGATCATCGTTCCACGAACATAGTGATTAACAGTGACCTCAATTACTCCATTTGCGGAAGCCTCAACTCTCATAAAAGTCGAGGACGTTTAAGGTGCAGAATGTCAAGCACTGTATATTGACTCTGGGGTATGCGATAGACTTACCTCCACGTGGTGCACCCTGGCCAACGTATACTCATACGGCAAAAAAGTCTATTAATTGGCAGTTGACTTCTAATCTTCAAACTACCATCACCCCATTGTATGTCATATTCGACTACTTCCGCAGTACTTACCTCACCTTTTTTCTACCTTTTCTACCTTCGTCTTTGAAACACTCTTCTGTCCCCCCCCCCTCTCGATTTTTTTTCACTTTGATGTTCCTTCCCCCTTTGTGAAGCCTGAAGTCCACTAAAGGGCTAATGATAACCATCAAAACGCCTGCCATTTGATATAAATAAATATATTGACTCTCGAACCCCNCAGTACTCACCTCACCTTTTTTCTACCTTTACTACCATCGTCTTTGAAACACTCTTCTGTCCCCCCCCCCTCTCGATTTTTTTTCACTTTGATGTTCCTTCCCCCTTTGTGAAGCCTGAAGTCCACTAAAGGGCTAATGATAACCATCAAAACGCCTGCCATTTGATATAAATAAATATATTGACTCTCGAACCCCTTCCAAGGAAGCAGAAACAGTAAGACAACGCATATTCTTTGAGCTGAGAAGTGGGGAAAAATTCTCGAATTCCATGAAGCAAACTTCACTCCACCTACTCCAGATTGCATTCCTGCAGCTTTGAGGCATAGTAGAATACAAAGTGGCTTTGTAATTAAGCAAAAGTTTTGGTATTAAATTAATCTGACGGTAGATTCTTCTTAATCAATTTTGGAATAAAGTTTTATATCAAATGGCAGGCGTTTTGATAGTTATCAATAGCCCTTTAGTTGACTTCAAGCTTCACAGAGGGGAAGGAACATCAAAATGAAAAAAAGTCGAGAGGAGGGGGGGGGGAGGAATAGAAGAGTGTTTCAGAGACAGACACAAAGGAGGATGAAAGGTGAGGTGAGTACTGTAGAAGTGGCCGACTATGACATACGGGGGGGGGTGGTAGTTTGAAGTGAGAAGTCAACTGCCAATTAATAGACTTTTTTGCCGTATGAGTATACGTTGCCCAGGGTGCACCACGTGGAGGTAAGTCTATCGCACACCCCATTTTGGAATAAAGTAAGTTAAATGTATCAAAAAACACTTAGTTCAAAGTAATCAAAATGTAAATCAAGTACAATTCACGTTCGCACTGTGAAATCAATGTTACCCCACTATAAATTCCATGACATGGTCATGAGAATTTTAACTGAACTAACTACACCTTCACATTTACGTGAAAGGTATGTTTTTTAAATGAAATTACAATTATCCCAAACAGTCTCTGCTAACCGTTGCTAGAAAACGAGTATTGTGGTGAATAATGATAGGAGGGCTCAATGATAATAAGCGTTTTTTACAGCATAAATGACGAATTTTTCCATTTGAAAAAGTTGCCACTAAAGACTTCCAAACTTCCAGTAGACTTATTTTCAGTTTCAGAATCAGACTCTTCGTATTTCACTCTCCCATCTCCCCTTCTGTCACTAGCATCATTAATACATAAGCCGACGAAACGTCAAATTAAAATATGCGCACAGTTACTGCATCTGTGATTGGACAGATAAAGATGTAACTTGTTCGCTCCAGTTAGTAGAATTGCGTATGTGAAGAACAAAGATAGTTTAACCAAACTTTGGATCGTTTTCCATGAAACGGTTAACCATAGTATTTGCACCGGACATATGCGAAGCATCAGAAGAATAGGCCAGCATCAGCTGAATCAACCGTAATTGCAATTTTCACCAATGAGGAAAAACCTTTCCAAGTGCACGAACATTCATTCCACTTTGTTTACACTGATTTTATTGCCAATTCAAAATTTCGACCCATATTTCAGTATGTCCGCGCACACGACATCCACGCAAACTTGTAAACAGAGCGGCGTAGAGAGCCTATAAAGCAAAAAAAATTTAAGTGAATTTTAGCATCTTTTAGTTGTTATTAATTAGATTTATTTCTGTTATTATGGTAGTGCCCTGGAAATGTTCGAATGAGTAAATTACCGTATTTACACCTATCCAACAGACATGTGCTGAGCGTTAAAACATTAGTATTATTATTAGGTTCAACTAATCAACAAAATGATGGGACTCGGATACAAAATGCTCAACTTTAATCACTATGGTTGCATAATAAAAAAGGGAAAGCTAGATGTCTCTTGAAAGGTATAGAATAAACTCTGGAGCAGAAGTTACAACTCGTGCCCCCATGTAATTAGCATCTTACAAATAATCGCGGACTTCATCTCTGCAAGGAAACTGTTTCCAATCCAAGATTTAGCTGATTTATATGAATACAGACATGCTCTTTATGCTTCAACATGATACTTCACTTTGCTCAGAAGTTGCGCCTTCATTGTCAGACAATTTTCAATGACCATATCGGAGAAAGTTTGTCCAATGCGACGCTTCTATGACTTGTAGTAGAGCAAGGTCTCCACTAAGTTCAAGTCTTACACTAGAAGCTAAAGCAGTCAACTAACGGTGGCAACAAAGCCAACACCTTTCCCAAAGATTTTCGAGCAAGCTCAATCAGGCCAGACACTCGATTATGCTGCCTTCTAGGTGCAAACTCGTGGACTCCATTCCACTTTGAACACCTTCAACAGTTTTCAGGCAATAATCAAAGTCCTTGTTTTGAATCATTAAGATATTTTTTTATTTATTTCAAATGGCAGGCGTTATGATAGGTATCATTAGCCCTTTAGTTGACTTCGGGCTTAATAGAAAGGAAGATGAACATCAAAGTGGCAAAGAGTCGAGAGGGGGACAGAACAATGATTCACAGATGTAAAAGAGATAGACAGACAGACACAAAGGTAGAGAAAAGGTAAGGTAAGATGAGTACTGTGAAATTATTCGAATATGAAATGCGGTGGGGTCATGGTAGTTTGAAGTCAGAAGTCAACTGCCGGTTAATAGACTTTCTTGCCGTATGAGTATACGTTGCCCAGGGTGCACCACGTGGAGGTAAGTCTATCGCACACCCCATCATTAAGATATAAATTACTCTATTCACCCACTCTTGTCGTTACCACGTAAGTCCAAACGACAAAAAGAAGCCTGATGTGCGCAAATAACTTGAGCACACTTGGGAAAGTAACCAAATATTATTCCGTAAAATTAATCCCCAACACCTTTTAGAACAAACAACTTCAACTCAGAGTTCACTCAGCGTACACAAGCGCAATGTAATAAATAATCGGGTTTAACACAAAGAGGAGGGGGCATATAAGTCAACAGATTGTCCAATTAACAAGCTATTTGCAAATAGGGGAAACTTGGAATTAGAAGCTCAAAAAAACTCACTGGAAGGAATACACATCGTTTGGTTGAAAGTGCAAAGCACAGCAAATCAGAAAGAGAAAAACGGAAAGTTGGGGTGGGGGGGGGGGGGGGGGGGGGTGGAGGGGAATGAAACTCAAATATGAAAGTTGTGAGGCGAAGGGAATGATCATAGTGAAGGAAAGAAAAGAGGAGAAGAGGAATGCGTTCAATAACTAGTCCACTTGATTGATTGCTTTCTGCTCACTGCAACTCCACATTGATTCGATCAATCTCCGAACGGAGTGTTGTATTCTTGTCTTTCCACTCCGACAACTCGTCTAAAATGAAAGTTTGCAATAAGCACATGGGAAGGGCAGTCGGTCACGTAAAGTAATTTAATGTCACGAATGGTGTCCCTGTCAATTAGGTTCCCACCAATAAACCGGTTTGTAGGGGCTTCATCAATTAGCATTTAATATCTTCTTGCTAAACCTCCTCCAAACATTCAACGCACTACCAAGAACTCGATTTTAGAGAACAATGACAGTACTTTCGCTAAAAAATCTATGAGAGAACATGAAACATTTGAAAAACTTATGTTATGAACCCAGTGAAATCCAATGCCTGCTGTCTCAGAGAAGTAAAATCTGAAATCGAACACCTCGATAATAGCTTTCACTACAGTGTTCAACTAGAAAAATGCAGACAGACTTTGGAATGGAAACGAACAAATTGACAGAATTTAAACAATAGCATTTTTAATAAACACTAAAGGGAAGGCACAGTAAAAAATGTTGTCAAAGATATAATGGCATCAAACTTAATCCAAGTAAAAATTACGCAGTGAGGAACTGTAAGTTAACTAATGAGACGCCACAATTTTATACGATATAGGTAACTGCTCGTTAATTGATGAAAATTGAATTCACCTACCTTCAAGTCTTGCAAGTTCAATTTGATTAAGTTGGGCTTGATCTTCTGCGCTCTTGGCTCTACGGTTAGCCTAATTTGAAATAAAATAAAGTAGCAATGAGACAGAAAAAGAATCAACTTACAGCATTCAGTTGCTTGGTAACCTCCTCAACTCTATTTTCGAGTTCAACATCGCCGTTAAAGTTCTAACAGTATGATAGAAATTTCAGAATATTAAAATAATAACAACAAGTCATATTATTAAACAAGATTAAAAAAATAATAATACGTTTGATCAACGTACATTATCGAAGAGAGATTTCATTGATTTCAATCTACTTGAATAAAGACGATTTAAATCCTGCAATTCAATTATGGTTCTAGAGCAAACATTATGCAGAAGTTAAACATTACTTTTCCTTCTTTTCGTTAATAAATTCTATTTGATCAATTTTTTCTTCAATTTCTCGTAATTCATGAATAACTTTGGTTGATTTCGTTTGGGCTTCCTTAGCTGCTTCTGTGACTTTTTGAAGTTTATCTTCAAGTTCGAATATTATTTTTTCTTGAGCATTCCTCTTTTTTTCCAAACTATCAGCAGATCTAAGGGGAAAATGGAATTGAAAAAAGAATTCCCACCTTTTACTCTCATCAGCTGCCTTTTGATTTTCCTCCAATTTAAGCAAGCAATCCTTTAGTTCCTTTTGCACGGCCTCGACTTTCAGTTCAAGAATATCGCGGCTTTTATGGGCAGCTCTCGCTTCTGCTTCAAACTGTAAAAAAAATAAATTATAGTGAAATTTATACCTTTTTGTGATCTTGTCTTATGGCCAACAATTCCTTATCTTTTTCGTCAAGATCAGCTTCTAACTTTGCGATACTCTCACGAACATCTGAAATTTTTTGTTTTAGAACATCCATTAAATGATTGAAAGGGTCAAAATGTGATTGGATAATATTAACCAAATAAATGCTCGCAAAACGTGTTAAAAGATCAAACAAAAATAACTTAACATTTTTTATGTTAATGTAAAGATGCTAATAAAAATTTAAAGCTCTGAAAATCGATTAAACTTTTAGTCAAATATGATTTAAAAAGGACTATTTAATCTTGCAATAGTATTCCAATAGTTTGATTTTTACACGTAAAGGTTTATTCCTGAAACGAGTAACAACCAGTTACTTTTAATGGGTTAGCAAATCAATAATTATGTGATCATTTTAATTTTAACTTTAGAGTTGAGTCATATTTAAAATGTTCATATCTTGCAGCGTATGATAACAATAAACATTGGCTCAATTGTATCAGTTACACATTCCTCCTAAAATTTACTTTAAAATATGCTAAGTATATTGGTTAAAATATCAAGATTTGATTGAATTTTGTAAACTTCTTAGAATACATTCACGTAAAAAATGTTTCATATGTCTAATGGTGTATTATAAAGGTATTCTATATTATATCAGAGTTGAAATTTAATGACACTAATTCATTTTATGCTAATGTGCATAACGTTTCGATAAGTTAAAGATTAATTGTTTGTAAACATCATTTATTATCATATTTCTTTTACAATCGAATGAAAATTAAAAAATTAACCACTTTGGATTATCAGCAGGCCAATTAATGCTTAAAGTTTTAAAATTAAAACCCAAAGAATACAATTGAAATGATTAAAAAATTTATAGCAACTTACATGATTTATTTTTTTACAAGATTTCTATAACCTTAAAATTATTACTTTATATTCCTGTTGAAGGTCACTGTTATTCTTCGTAAAGTGAATCATTTCAAAATTTTCCTATTGCTCTCTGGTTCTCTTTGCCCTGTTCGCCGCATTATACTATGGAAGCTATGGCAGTGGATGAAATGGGGATTGTAATGTTTTTTCATTAAAATCTTTATTTTTCAGGTCACTCTCAATCTTAATATTAATACCATTCAAAAGTTTTATGCATTCAAGAAAAAATTTGCTCAAATGGATTGGACAGATGATATTTTTATGCAGAAACTCCTTGAAAATTACTTGAATAGCCATTCAAATTCTGAGTAATTCTATTTTTTTAATTTATTACTTTAAATATTTAGATCTAAAGAGGCAGTTAAGTCTGTTTGTCCTGAATGCCAATTCAATGCTGAAAATATGACTTCCCTTTTCGAACACTTTGATAAAATTCATGCACTGGAGGCAACCTTCACTTGCAATTGTGGCCTAACATTCATCCGCTTACCGGCGTATCTGAGACATTATCTTGATTGTCCACTCGCGTCTATGGATTCTTGCTTGAACACTATTTCAAAGCAATCTTCTCCAGATACGCCAACAAAATTATCCGAAGAATTTTTCAGGAAATCAGATTCCCCAGCCACTATGATTGCTGAAAATAATGAGAGTACAAGCCCAGAAGCCAGTTTTCAAGAATCAATAATACATTACAGCTTCTACAAGCATCCTCCTGTAATCCCCATTAAGGGTCCTTCCGATGATCGACCTTTTGGTTGTCCAAAGTGCCCTAAAGGATTTAAGAGTAAATCTCTCCTTGAGCAACATATGCATTTACACTACCCTCCTCGCTACAAGTGCCGGTGGTGTTTCAAGGTTTACCGTTGGCCTCCAGTTTATTATCATCATATGCGAACATGTAAGAAAATGCCCCGAGGTGAATCCGAATCAGATAATCCTTCAATGACAAGTACTTCCATTCCTCCTGTAAATGATAGTGCCGTATTAGATCTCTCACAACCGGCAAAACCGGCTCAATTTGTCACCTTAAAGGAAGATTCTCTTGTCAAATCTACTCCCCCTTCTACTCCTTCTTTTCCCTTACTGTCTTCACCACCAGTGGATTTTATTTGTCCTTGTGGAACTAAGTTTTCCGATGTACATTCTTACGTAGATCATGCTACTAAGTGCCTTCACATTGTTCAGCCTCTTTCTTCCGTAAATATTGAACGAGCTTTCTTAGATTCGACCAATGAATCTCTTGAATCCAGTCTTGTTCCAAATTCCGTCTTGAAACGATTCACGTGCAATTACTGTGCAAAAGACTTCACTTCTAAGCTCTCTTTAAAACAGCACATAGATGGTAAACACAGAGCTGAGGGGAAGTATGTCTGTAAGATTTGTGGAAAGCGCTACCGATGGGGTGCCTCTTTTTATTACCATCGACGAACTTGTTCTCTTGCAAACGGTGTCAGCCTGCCTTCTACCGGTGTACTCTCCCATCTTCCGCATATTTCTCAACCATCAGCTTAATGAAGGCTTTAATAATAGTGACCTTTGTAGCCTTGTAAATATTTCCCATTGTGCTTCGCTACCTGGGGCTATTATTTTGATACTCAACCTGCATGTTCTAGAGTGCATTTTACTCTACCTTTCCCTCTTTCTGTTATGCAGCATTTAATGACCTTCAAGTACTCTATTCCGCCTCCCTTCCTCCTTAGTGGTAATGCTGACTCCTTGATTTTGTAATCCCTACTTTACTCTTCTCTTACACATTCAGTTTGTAATTGGGGCGAATCGGACCATGAACCACTGACGACTCTACTGACTTATTATCTAGGTCAGTAATGAACTCTGACATTCCCTATTATTATAGAAGGTCACTACTTGATCAGGGTTAATTTATGAACCCTGATTAAGTTGAATGGACTAATATTAAATAAAACTTTCAGGAAATACGACCTCTTTTATTTGAAGCTTGGAGTATGTTTATGTTTGCTCATAATTAACAGCCTGATTTTCAGCCAATGATCTTTTCAAGTTTTACAACGTTTGTCGGTCACCTTAGTTATTATTTCTTCCTCTTATTAATTGTTACTATTCTGGTATTAATTACCATTCTGAAAGATTTGTTAAAATTTTGGCTCTAATCTGCTCTGTTGGTTAGTAATGGAAGTTGTTTTTTCCAAGGCCGAAATGCATTTACGTGTAATTCATTTCACAGCTCTGAAAAGGCGCACGGAATGCATGTAGCGGTTGAGATTGATAGAAGATTTTAAAAAGTGATTTCTGTGGAGTGAAATACAAAAGGAGTATAATGGATATTAGATAGCATCTAGAATCATCATCAAAGAAGTGCGAGATGAGGGGTGGGTGGTTGAAATGAAAGCTTAAGTGCTTCTTCTAAAAAAGGAATGGAATTCCCTCAATTCACTGACTTTTTCCGCCATTTTGGCGGTTTAAAACGCATATAGTCAAATACAAGTGATGTCAAAATACAAGTTCTTATTTCAAAGTTTAGCAGTTCAAATATGCCTAATATTAATGAAGAGGAGAATAGATTGAATAAATAACGAGAGGGCAATTTTAATTCTACCATGCGATGATTCAAATATTTACGAAAAGGGGACTACAAAAATGGTAACATTATTAATGAGATATCCGCAGAGCTAATGGAATGCAGCAGTACTTCCAATATTGAGACATTTCCGTTTTTCACTTGAATGAGGCGCAGCGGTTTGTTACGCTTGAGAAACCCAAGTTAATTATACCTAGCCAATTGTAAATGCTATACTTTAACTTAATTATTTCCCCAACTATGCTCCTCCCGTTTTTTGTCAAACTTGTCCCCTCGTAGTGGAAATAACAGTTAACCATTTAACCGAAGCCTTGTTTTTTTACCATCTTTCGATGCATTTACTTAAAGATAAAATAAAATTTCGGCAAAAAAATTACATTTGCTTGCATGGATATGGCGTAGCCTATCGAAAATCGATATCCTATTTTGGGTTGCAGTGACGGAGCGCTATAGAAATCAAGATTTTCAACACATTATTCATGTAAGATAAAGGATTTGTGATAAAGTGCTCAAAAATTTTAATGTCTGAAATTATTTGGTCATAATAAATGTAAGAGAAGGTTGAATATTGTTTGGACAATAAGCATCGATTTCGAATCTCCTATTTTAAAAGTTAAGAAAGAGAAAATTCTATCTAAGCAGGCTTTCTTTGTAGAGTCCCCAGAGAGATTTATTTAAATTAAGAAGTCAAGACGTAAATTAAATAATAACAATAATTTTATATAAGATCGTCGCAGCCAATATCCTACTGCTAGCAGTGGCATTCCGAAGCTTATCAGTTGTGAAGCCCTCATTCTGCAATTTCACGAATATTAAATGAGTGCCGTCTGTTTTTAGGAGGGCACCAAATCCCTTACAAGTAAGTTATTTATTACATATCGTCTTAACAACAATTATGTACTCGATATAAAGGAATTCATCTGTGCTCTTCTATGTTTAAGATACGTTACTTACCCGCAATGACCTGACAATGGCTGTTAGAAGATACAAATCAATCAAAGTGACATGAATCAGCCTGTCATCAATCTCGTAATATTGCGGACATTGAAGTGGGGATCAAGTAATGAAAATTGGTTTTCAGAACATTTAAATCTTAACAATACATGAATCACACTCTTGATGTGAAAATGGACCACGCAATGCTTCCAAAATTCCAGTGAATCTTTATACATCACTCTCATCTTCCTGTTTCAATAATAGTTTTTACTAAATCCTATTAATTATATGTGAATCGTGATACAGTGGTTTGTAGAGCTTTATTAAATTTAATATATATATATATATGTATATATTTGATTGATATTGTTTCAAGCTGTGAGTTCACACTCAAAGATATTTTATAGGCACTCAATAAAGTAGTTAATAATGATTGGTATTGTTATGATACTTGAGCTTATTATGTTGATTATCCACATCCTTTGTTAATAAACGATTATTGTGCTTTTCATTTTGAAAAAGCACCATTAAATTCATTGCCAACTCCTCTGCAGTGACTAGGTGTAAGATGAATTCCACTTGATGATATAGTTAAAAAAATATGCAACCAATAGATTTACACGAAGGGGGTAGGAGAAGGGAAACCTTTATTGAGAGAATAAAAAATGCATTCTTTATTATTTTTCTTTTGTTTAATGTATATGAATTTTAGGCCTGTTAAGATGCTTCAAACATCCGTTTCCATAGAAGTAGAGGCTAATAATATTTAAGAATTATAAATCTAAGCTCCGAGACTTGGAAATTATTGATTACAAAAACAAAGGGAATATTGCGCTTTGATTTATGTCATTTCCAAATTTAGCTCAGACGTTGTTAAGACGTACAAAGGATTTATAAAAATAATGTTGGATGGTATGTTATGGCAAAGACAAAAAAGCCGGGTAAGTAAAACCATTTTAAACTCGTCACAGGTACCATTCAAGGTAACAAATGGATTATCAAGATACTCGCCTGTTGTCAGACAATAGCAGACTTGGAGTCATTGTTGACATTAGGGCTACTTCCTCTGATTATTCTGGGTTTTCGCACTATCGAGCTTTAACCAGGACTTCTTCTTTAGTCTTCCACAGAATGACCTCCTATTATGGTACCCTGAAATTTCTTCCGAGCCCTCAACGACTGCTGGCACAAAGCCATAGCAAATTGAAAATCATTTAAGATGTCAATATTGTCGATCTTCTCTCCCGAAACCACAAATATCTACTTCAAGGCAATTTGAACGAAAAAACAGTGAAAATTTTCACAGAAAATGGTGACAATGGTGAAGCATTATCGATGGAATCAATGATCCATAGAGGGAAAAATCGCCATGACATCCAACTGGTTAATTTTCAAATGCCATCAATGCAAGTGCAATGCAGTAAAGCGACTGCTTGTATCCTCTCAACTGAGTGGTGAGGAAGAGACGATCCTATAGCAACCTGCCAGTACTATCGCATATTCAAGTGCGCAAGTTGTTTACAAGTTTTAATAAACTGAAAGGGTTTCTATACATGACAGATGAAGCCAGTCCAAGTAACTAAGAAACCGGAGGTAATAAGGTTTTCTCTATTAACTATGAGTGCATTAATTTCACACCGATTTCGCACAATTTTTACAAATAAATGGGCATATTGGTATTAATAATGTTATTGTTTGTTTTTAGCAGATATCAGGAGTGCGACACAAAACAGTGGGGATCATTTTCTACGAGTCTAAAAATAGATCGCTACTGCTTATGCGACATGTGACAGGCCATGCAATTAAAGCGCGATGATAATTATAAATAACATTTTTAGGATTAACAGACGAGCACAACTCTTTATAGTCCTTTAATATAAATATAAATGTATATAATTAAATGTAATTACGTGTTAACAAATAAAGTTGTGCACTCTATTACAATATTACTAGGTGTGCGCACAGTGAGGAAACCAATTTTTGATTCACGTTTATTACTATGCATAGAAATGTAAAATTTCACAAATAGCGCTATAAACTATAACTGGAAACTGGTAGCGAAGATGTGAATTTAGGAAGAGACAAAGACAAGCTGCGATTATTGTGGATGTGAAATCACCAGAGACACTCCGAAACCGAACCATGAAAGTGGACCTTTGAAGAGTTGGATAGTGCGAAATGCTTCTTACACCTTGTGAGAGGTTGTCAGCTCAATCATTTTAGAACACAAAATACGCCTTGAATTCCACATATGCTTCTTTCCCTCCTCGTTTGATCAATTTCTGACCCCAAAACCATTTTGTTTGTCTCTACCCTACCCATGGTACAAACGTGAATGTTGCAATAAGTAGGCATTTTAAAACATGTAAGGGTTTTTAGCAATGTTGCTAAATGTCAACTACGGTAAAACATTGTATTCTCACAATTGAATTGATATGAAAGCAATTAAATAAGAGGAATAACAGCATACCCACCAGGTGTATGATGAAGGAAAGTGGCTAAAGAGATGGAGTTGATATATTTATATCAAAGGGCAGGCCCTATGATAGTTATCATTGGCTATAAAGTTGGCTTCGTGCTCCACAGAGAGGAGGATTATCAAAGTCACCACAAGTCGAGAGGGGAAATAGAAGAGTGATTCACAGATGTTAAAGAGGCAGACACAAAGGTGGAGAGTGGGTTAAGATGAGCACTGTGGAAGTAGTCGAATATGTCATACAGTGGGGTCATGGTACTTTGAGGTAAGAAGTCGACTGCCTCTTTATAGAATTTTTGCTGTATGAGTATGCGTTACCCAGAGTGCATCACGTAGAAGTAAGTCTATCGCAAAGTGCATTTTGGTAACTATAGAAATCTAGGTTCATCATCAAATTTGCCTGTTAGTTAATTGAGTCTGTTGAAGCAAATAGTTACGTTCCAAAGACCAGATTTTAGATTGGTATGAATGAAATCAAATTTATATTTGTTCAGAGATCTACATGATCAGAGTTCAGTGTTTCTTGTCTAAGGCCCTCAAAAT